CCTCAGGCAGGCTTTGTCTTTCTGCTAGCCCACAGAGGTCAGGGGGCCCTCCTTCCCCCAAGCCCAGGCCACAGAGTCCGTCTCTGGGCAGGGCAGCAGCTGGGTTCTAGCCTGTCTTGGCACTGTAGTGGATGCTGGTCCCTGAGAGCCTCCCATGCGGGCCTGGAGAGGTTCTACCTAGATCTTATTTCTTTACATCTCAGTAAATAGACAGTGGGTTACAGGGACAGAGGGCGACTCTGTGTGTGTGTATGTGCATGCACACTACATAGGTAGTCCCTCTCTGAGGGAGGTGACTTTGAGCAGAGCCTGGGGTGACATGAGGCAGCTAGCCATGTCACTCCAGGCTGAGAAAACACCAAGTGCAGAGGCCCTGAGGCAGACACACATCTTGTGTTTGAGCTAACATGACCAATTGATCCAGTTTTCCCTGGACTGAGGATTCCCAGGACACAGGACTTTTCGTTTTATTTATTTATTTATTTATTTATTTAAAAAAAGATGACCGGTAAGGGGATCTCAACCCTTGACTTGGTGTTGTCAGCACCACGCTCAGCCAGTGAGCAACCGGCCATCCCTATATGGGATCCGAACCCAGGGCCTTGGTGTTATCAGCACAGCACTCTCCCGAGTGAGCCACGGGCCAGCCCAGGACTTTTAGTTTTAAAATCGGGATGAGTTGTTCACCCTAGTAAGGGAACCTCAAGGAGGCCAGCGTGGCTAAAGCAGGGTAGGCAAGGGGGAAGAGAAGTCAGAGGTGACAGGGCATCAGATCCCATAAAGGCCTGTGAGTACTTTGGTTTTTATTCTGAGACAAGAGCCCTTGGAGGTTTTTAACAGAGGAGGGACAGGATCTGACTTAGATTTTATCAGCACCACGCTCTAACCGACTGAGCTAACCGGCCAGCCCTTGACTTAGATTTTAAAAGGCCACCATCACAGAAGTAATTGTGGGTGAGATAGGAGGAGCTTAGGAACATGGAGAGTACTAGGGGGCACAGGGAACTTTCTGATCCTGTTGTGGCTCGGAATTAGCCACAGAAATCCTCTGTCCCATCTCATTATGAGTCTAACAACCTTTAGTTTCTTGTCTTAAAAATTACACCAAAGTTTTAGATGTAACAACTACAAACAATGTGTGCTAAATGCTCTCCTTGAACATTCAGACCATTCAGTAGGGACTCTGCTTTCTACAATGGTGGATTAGGTAAATCAGGCCAACCCGCCCATTTGGGACAACTAAAAAAGCTGGATGACAAAAATTTTTTATTAAATCTTAAAAACATCAAACCAGTCTCAGGGAGGTAAACTCAGATGTTTTTGCTTTCAAGGTATTTATGTATTCTGAAGGAAGAGTTGGGAAACTGAGCTTCAATTTTAATGGGCTTATGGGGCTAAGGGAACCTCAGACCTTGAATTTGGATTAAATTCATCTCAGACTGGTAGGCATATGGCAAAAGCACATGAAAATCCTCTATCACCCTAGGCCTCAAATTTTTCCTGCAAATAATTTTTAAAATACAATATCTGATACACAGTTACAAATAACTAGACAATTTAGTAAAGCCAACTGCCAAAAACAAAACGAGCAGAAATAACTAGACACGCAAGCGAATAAGACCCAGTGATGGAAAACCGACAGAAACAGGCCCACAAAACTTGGGGTACTGAAATTATCAGACACAGACTAAAGCATTACCTCATCTGGTCTCCACAATAACCCTGGGTGGTAGACACTATTATTATCTTTATTTTAAAGATAACGAAATTAAAGCCCAGAAAGCTAGAGTGATTGGCCTACGGTCACACAGCTAATAAGTAGGGGAGTTGTGATTCAACACAGGTCTGTTGCCTCTGTAATCTTTGTTATTCAAAACTTACTATATGAGAGGCTCCTTAGAAGTGGGAAATCTAGGGCCGGGCCTGTGGCGCACTTGGGAGAGTGCGGTGCTGATAACACCAAGGCCCCGGGTTCGGATCCCATATAGGGATGGCCGGTTCACTCACTGGCTGAGCGTGGTGCTGACAACACCAAGCCAAGGGTTGAGATCCCCTTACCGGTCATCTTTAAAAACAAAAAAAAAAATGTGGGAAATCTAAAAAGAAAGAGAAGAGATTATGCACGGTGTCCCCTCTATGTCCCCCACGCTCGGAAGTTCTAGAGGCATGACGTCAGAGCCTGCGGCACTGCCCTTGCTCCTCTGCCAAGGGCCACTGCATTTCAGTGATGGGAGTGGATGAAAAAATGAAATGCCTAGGGACCTACGAAGGGGACACCTGTCTAGCCACCCACTCCCATATGTCAGGGACATGCTCACAGAAGACGATGACCAGACATAGAGAGCATATGAAAGGCCAAAATCCTCTGCTAATGGGAGAATAAGTAGCTGGCTGGATGACAACCTGAAAATACCTATTAAAATGCGAAGTGCTCACCAAGGTCAAGGGTTCAGGTTCCCATAATGGCCAGTCACCAAAAAAAGCAAAAAGAGAAAAGCAAAATGCTCACACCCTTCCACCCAGCAACTTCACTTTCCTCGGAATTTATTCTACAGATACTCTTTCACAAGTGCACAGAGATACAGGTGTAGGAATGTTCACTATGACATCATTTACAAGAATGAGAAACTGGGCCGGCCCGGTGGCGCACTGCTACAGTGCGCCGCTTGGGAGCGCGGCGGCGCTCCCGCTGAGGGTTCGGATCCCACATACAGACCGGTTCCCGCTCACTGGCTGAACGAGGTGCGGGCGCGACACTGAGGGTTGCGATCCGTTGCCGGTCAAGAAAAAAGACAAAAAGGAAAAAAAAAAAAAAAGAATGAGAAACTGTCCACTCATAGAAGGCCAGTTTAAAAATTAAGGTATATCCATATATATATATATATATGTATATGTGTGTGTGTGTGTATATCATGAAGCCATTTTTATTTTTATTTTTATTTTTTTATTTTTATTTTTTTAAAAGATGACCGGTAAGGGGATCTCAACCCTTGGCTTGGTGTTGTCAGCACCACGCTCAGCCAGTGAGCAAACCGGCCATCCCTATATGGGATCCGAACCCGGGGCCTTGGTGTTATCAGCACCGCACTCTCCCGAGTGAGCCACGGGCCGGCCCTCATGAAGCCATTTTTAAAAACAGCATATATTTTTATAAATTGGCTTTTTTTTTTTTTTTGCTTGCCAATACAGGGATCAAACTCAGACCTTGGTGTTAGTAGTACTAGACTCTAAACAACTGAGCTAACCCGGACAGCTGTGTTGGCATTTCTTTTTTTTTTTTTTCTTTTCTTTTAAAGATGACCGGTAAGGGGATCTTAACCTTTGACTTGGTTTTATCAGCACCACGCTCAGCCAGTGAGCCACGGGCTGGCCCTTGTATTGGCATTTTTTAAGTGTCCAAAATATAGTATTAACTGAAAAAAAGCAACGAAACTTTATATTTTCTACGATTTCATCTCAAAAAATTTACATTTATACATATATGTAGGTATGTGCATGTGTGTGTATAATTCACAGAAAAAATGTGAAGTGCAATAAACTGGAAACAACAGAAAAATCAGAGGGCTTAAATCATTATTTACATATCATTTGAAAATTTTATAGTAGGGGCCGGCCCGTGGCTCACTCAGGAGAGTGCGGTGCTGATAACACCAAGGCCACAGGTTCGGATCCCATATAGGGATGGCCGGTTTGCTCACTGGCTGAGCGTGGTGCTGACAACACCAAGCCAAGGGTTAAGATCCCCTTACCAGTCATCTTTTAAAATTACAAAATAAATAAATAGATAAAATAAAAAGGAAAATTTTATAGTGAGCATGTATGACTGTTATAAGCAGAAAAGTGCACCTGTGTGTGTGCGTTTCCTTTCCCAGGCTCGTTTAGGAGGCTTAGACACAATCAAGCATGAGCTCAAGTAGAACAGGTGCTCTTCTCTGCTGCACATGGGGCAGGTATGACTTGGGGGACACTCCAAAAGGCCTGTACCCCCACATCTTACCCACGCCTGGATGCAATCTCTGTTCAGTGAGCTAAGCAGAATGAACCTTGAATTAACTGGACAACATTTACTGGGGGCTCCTATATTAACATGGCATAGGTGCCAGCATGGATTGCACAGTTTAACTTATATTATTCTCTGACTACTCAGCAGACAGCCCAGCCTGGATAGGGGAGTTTTACTTGTGGGGGTGAACCAAAGGAAGGAAGTTTTGGCAGCTCAGACCCCTTCCTGGGAGGTGGATAGCCCAGTGATGACGGGCCCAGGCCATCCCTCCTGGGCTGGGAATGGGGTGTTTCCCAGGCCAGGGTTCTGACTCTGGGATGGTGGAATGCTACCGGATTCCATAAACACTATTCCTGACCCCCCACTCCCAAAATGCGTCATGGCATATATTAACAGTGAATTTAAAAATATTGGTGGTGAAGGAGGAATTTCAAGGCCCTTCCTCAGATAGCTGCGAAAGCAAGGTTGGGAACCTGTTCCAGATCATTCTAGCAATGGGGACACAACTTTAATGCCCAAAATGTGGCAGTTTGAAGGGGCTTGGGGTGCCTTCCTCCCCCCACCTTCCATTTTGCAGAAGAAACAAGGCAACCTTCCGCCAGCACAAGCCAGCCCGAGCCAGCCCATCTCCCCCCACAGCAGCAAACAGATCCTGCCACCAGCGCAATGCTTTAAAGCGGGGTCTTGCTCTCCCTTCTTCCAGGAGTTGGACGGCTGAAAGGGAAAGCCCCCTCCTCTGCCTTCCCAGAAGACAGGACATTGTTTATGCCCTCACATCAGAGCTGATGACTACAGCTGGCTGAGCCGGAGGCCTTTGAACTCCATATACCTAATTTATTAACTCACCGATGAACCCGACCTGCAGAGTTGTTCTTAAAGAGTCTGGACTAATTCAGCAAGCATGGGGTCTCGGTGGCTCCTCCCAGACCCAAAAGCCTCCTCTTCTCACTGTCTTCAACCCTCCTTTCTACACAAAAGAGGAGGAAAACACACTCACCAGTTCCCGACCGAAGGCTGAGCCAGCTTCGAGGTGGAGACCCGTATTTCGTCAGGACTGAATTCATGCTTGACTCCCGGGGCGGTGGCACCCTGCCTGGCCCTCCAGCCACGTGCGAACACCACGGGCCTCTTAGATCATACACGCGGGTCTCCGTCCCTTCTGCCCAGCTGCAATCCCAACACTGAAGGGTTTCTCCCAGACTCAGCCCAATCTTAGTTTCTCCAGCTGAGTCTGTCTGCACAGAAAACCGCGGAGCTCTCAGCTCCTGCCAATTTGCTTCCCCTCTGACACAGGTCCCCTGGGCGCTGTATATTTTAACATATGGACTTCGTAGCCATGGCTCACACTGCGTTTCCTTGTTGGTGGTTTTCTCCCCCCTGGATTTTCCATTCCCAAGTACCCATTCGCTCCCTGGAACAGGCTTCTTACACTGCTGACTGCCTCCGGGGGTGCCTGCCCTCCTTCTCCGGAAAGCAACACCACAGAGGCCCTTGTCTCTGCAATCCCAATAGCCAGCAGCAACCCCTCTGCTGGACCCCTGCGAGGAGGAAGGCCAGAAAGATCCCCCCTCCAGGCAGACGGTCACAGCCTGGGGACCAAGTGAGTTCCAGAGCATGAGAACAACCCCCGCCACAGTCTGCTGAGCGCCACGGCGGCGGCATCAGGGCCAGTTACCATGGCAACCCTTGGCTTCCCAGCTCAGCACATCATCTGCCCAGCTCAGCTCTATTTGCTGATTCCCAGACTTTGCTTACTCAGCTCCTGGCATTTCCAGATAGGACCTGCTGCCCCTCGCCTCAGTGTCTCCTTTCAAAGCTCACCCGCTACCCCACTCTGCCTGGCAAGGCCTTGGGCATATTTAACTTAGCAAGATCTTTGTGAAGAGGCCCTGAACATCACGTGGGCTTCCCCCTCACTGCACAGATGGCCCCATATTTCTTCTAGCCGCCATTCAGGATACGCTGGTCAGCCAAGTGTCGCTCTCAGCCAGCCTCAACTTTACAAGGAGCGGGAAGACTGAAGAGCCGAGCTCTTGCTTGCTGAGTGGCAGTTACAGGCACAGACCCCAGGCTTTTTTTTTTTTTTAATAACTCCTCTGGGGATAAAACTCCCTTTTTCCTTCTAATACACTCTCAAAGACAGTCCAGAAAGGGTACAGCATCCTCCTCTCAACTTACATGTGGGCCCAGTCAGGAAAATGAAAACAAACTTCCACTGCGCTCAGTACTGAAATGGAAAAAAAGCACAGGCATGTGCTGGAGTTTCCTGCGTGCTCCCTGCTCTGGCACCCACATTTCATTAACCTCCTTTCAATGTTTTTTCCTTCCAATGTTTTCTGCATTATTTTTCTCCTAAGCATTTTAGCAATTGCCTGAAATAATACGGTCAATCTACATAATAAAATTACACAATTAAATTCATGTTCTCAAAAATATTTAATGATACAGAAGTCCAATATGGTAAGTGAAAAGAGCTGGATAGAAACTACACACACAGGACAATTTTGTAAAAAACACACATGCACACACATACACACATGGAAAAATTCCAGACGAGACTGTATCACAGCATTCAGTTATCATCCACCTAGCGGTGGACTTTAGGATCATTTTCACCATATGTAAACTGCTTACATGATTTTAAAAGCAATAAGTGGGGGGTTATGAAAAACTTCAAGGAATTAATTATCAATGGTGGCCTTGGAACCTGCCTCCCCAAAGCTCTTTAACAAAAGGACACTTGGCAGCAAGAACCACTTTCAGGTAAACCTGCCAGAGGCAAGACAGATAAGTAGCTGTAGATTCAAACTTGGCTGTGAGGAATACAACTTTGGTGCCTGCCTTCTAGGAGTTTACAGTCTAATCAGAGACAGGCCACACACTAAGAGTCACTGTCCTCTACAGGGCAGAGACTGTGCTAAGTTTTTTATGGACATGAACTCATTTACTCCTCCCTGGAGCCCTGAGGGAAGCACAAGCGTCCCACCTTCAGGGCAGTGGGCAGGCTCAGGCCAGACACCTTCCTCAGTGACACTGCTGGCAGCGGCAGAGGCAGAATCAGAACTCACAGCTCTACCATCAGTGCCCGCTGTCTTTATCACTATACTACCATGCAAAAAAAAAAAACCTGTACCAATTAGACAATTTTAAAAAATCACCATTGGGTCCAATAAAAGGAACCCCTTACCATGTGGCTGGTCCTCACACCTTATCTGGCAGTTGAAATCCAAGTTGCTGACAGATTAAGTAACTGCCCATCGAAGGGGCCCACATGGAGGACACGGGCTACCTTGGCTCAGCCAGGAGCTTCACCTTCTCTAGCAGGCCACTTCTGGGCAGGCGCTCAAAAAGCATAATCCAAGGCACTTGAAGAGGCTGTTCAAATATCCTTCTCCCCTTTCTCAAATCTTCCATTTCCAAGTGATGCTCACAAGGATACATTTATTCCCTGCTTTCAAGGAGGCCTAACAGTAGACAGGAATTGAACTATCCTCGTTTATGACATAAAACAAATCCCAGGATTTGAGAATCTACTCATTTATTTTCCTACCTATTTTTCCTATAAATGGATCTCTTTAAAAGAACTGACTTTAAAAGAAAATAATAGAACTGGCTTTAAAGAACCACAAAAGTTGGTGACAAAGCGTTTTTACTTTCTAAGTCATAAATTTCTATAATTTTCTTCAAATGAGCACATATCTTTGGAAATCACTCACATAAAAATGATTACAAATTTTGTAAAGAATAACTCCAATGGAGAATTCCTTACTACACATTCTGAACCATATAGATCATAGAAATAACAAAAGGTCCAATCTTACTCTTTCTTTGAACACCCTTAAAGCCACTGACATTGACAATCAAATGGACAGACATCCAAGGCAGACGTTGCTGCTGCAGGTCTGACCAGGCACACCTGGAGCTGACCACAGAGCAAGTCTCCAGGATCTCTGAATTTCCTCCACAAGCCAGTGTGGGTTCCTCAGCCAACACTAGGCCTAGTGCAGCCACCTGGTGAATGGCAGATAGCTCCTTCTAGTGGCAATGTTGTTCCTTTACTGATGGGGACTGAAGACATCACTTCTTAAAAGCCAGCTAAAGGCAAACCTGAATTTAATGAAAATGCAAATCACAGGGCATCACTTTCATTCTTCCAGAGACCAGCTGCTAATGACCTACAGTGAATACTGTTGTCAAGACACAAGGGAAAAGAGGCAAAGTTTATGGTGGCAGATTGCCTTAAAATTCTTTGCAAGGCCAACATAGACGATATGATACAAGCTAAATTCAGATGTCAATCAGAGGCAACTAAGGCCTCTAGGGTATCAGGACTAATCACGGTGACAAGGGCTCCTGTGCTTATTTGTAAATCCTTTGCTGTGGGTCTATGAGACACCCAGGAGCCACCACAAGTACTAAAGACAATGATAATCAACAATTTAAATTAACATAAACATTAAAACCCGCACATCCTAATAACAGTCTTTCAACATGATGATCTGGGCAACCGGAATTTTAACAATATGGCGGTCACGATTCTGCCTCAGTAAGTACCCCGCTGTCTTAAATGCAGAAGTGACATGACCCAGTCTGATCACTCTTGTTTACAAAAACCACTTCCAACCTCAGAGATAAAGAACCATGTCCACCATGGAGATCCTGTACCCCTAGCAGAAAGAGCTAAATGGCACAAAGTTGTTCCTGTGTTCAGGTCCAGCTGCCCAGAGGAGGGAATGGGCTTCGTGAGAGTTGGTCGAGCCACTCCTTCTTCTGAATAGCCCACCTTCCAGCTCCGCCCCATGGTTGTGTCTTCAGCCTCAGATGAGAAGTCAATTAGGACAAATCTAGTTTTTTTTTTGGTGGCTGGCAGGTCAGGGGATCCAAACACTTTGACCTTGGTGTTATGACACCATGCTCTAACCAACTGAGCCAACCAACCTGCCCAAATCTAGTTTTAAAGAGTCCGCCAGGAGAGGCTTTCCAGGCTTGAGAGCAATTTCTTCAGCATAAAACAACAGGATTTAAAAAAAAAAAAAAAGAAAATGCAGACTCCTGAGTCCAAACTTCTATCTATTAAACCTGATTGAACGTAACAGACCACACACTCTCTTTAACACTTGACCCAGGTGAATGGAAGAGAAGTTAGGTCGCATGGAATGAAGAGATGAGAATGACCGCCCAGGGCTGTGACCATCCCTGTCGGCTCTGAGGAGGCAGATGTCCCACATCGGCCCCGGCCCCTCAATCTGCACATGGCTAAGGTGAGAACCACGGCGAGCCTTCACATCCATTGTGCTTGACATCTTGCGGGTCAGCCGTCCTTCCATCTTGGTACATTCCTGTGGCCCCAGTTTCCCTATTTTTATCCTGATTCCAATAACCAGGTCCTTGAAGAACGTTTTGAGGAATGGACCGTATTGTTTCTGTTTTAATGGCATACACTTTTTCCAGCTGCCTTAAATCCCTTTAGAAAAGCGCCAGACATCAAATATGATTAACTATAGAAGACTAGGGCAAAATTCTAGATCACGTAGCTTTAAGAGAGAAACTTGAAAGTATTTGCTATGTCACACATTCACGAGTTACACAGAAAGCTGTGCTACATAAGAGCTCCATTCACAGCCCTACAACCCCACTAAGTCTGCTGATGTCAGCTTGAGACAAAGCTTTCTGACAGAAAAGTTTCTTCCCTTATTAAAAACATGAGTATCAGTTTATTTTTCAATGGAAATTAGGTTTTGGGTATGATTTCCCTTTATGTGTTTCCCTAGTTTCTCTTGCTCCAATCTTCTCTGATGCTCCAGGAAGTTTAAAATTGTAATCTGTTGTGACATAAGGCACTGTCCCCTCGCAACGCTGCAATGGAAACACAAAGGAGATAAATGGGAACACTGAAGATCCAGCTTGGAAGAGTCTGCAGTGTTCTATTTCCCACCCAGAAGGCAGCATTGAAGTGAGGTCTGAGTGAGGGCCTTTCGCTTCTACAGCCTGCGGCTCCCTTCCCTCGAAGAGCCCCCTTACAGCAACCAGCTCACTACCCAACACACCTGCACCTCCTTTCTCTCCAATTCAATTCCGTAAACACATCAAATGGCATGACAGTAGGTGGCTGTGTGTGCGTCTCTCTCAAATAAGCAAAGCAGGCAAGTAAGGACATAGGGACACCCACCACCTCCCCTGTCCACTTGCAGCCCCTGCAGCTGGCTCTGGGGCCACATGGACGCCCTTGCCAGCATGAGTTCCCAAGGGTGCCTCTGAAGACTGTCCTCGGGAAGGGGTCATCCTGGGATAATGGCTCGAGCACGGTGCCCATGGCTGTGAGTGATGGTGATTCATTCACAGGCTCTACAACAAAGAGCGAGCTTCCCTGACAGAAAACCTGCTCCTGTGACTCTCGCCCTGCGTCAGCTCCTTACTTCCCGTGGGCACGAGCTGGACCCCAGCAGAGCTGTCCCCAGGCCAGGCTCACCTGGTTCTTGAAGACACACTGTGGAATGGAAATGGCTCCTACAAGCAGACAGTTCACAGTTCTTAGCTCCTCCGGGGGCACGGGGGTGAGGATGAGGTACAGGCGCTTCTCCATGTCGACGCCTCTACAGATCCCTTCGAGATATTCACAGCACAGAGATCATACTTGATGGCAGACATCAAACCTCCCACCACTAGAAACTGCACAACGGCTCGGGAAACACAGCGTGCCAAGAGAAGGAGCAAGTGATCATTCAAAGACTGTATACCTTCCATTGCTTAACTGTGAGGGGCCAAAATGGTCTACACGCAACGTCCTCAGCTGTTTATTATGGCAAGCACAGGACAGAGAGAAGAGCCACCATGGAGGAACACAAGGACAATGACAATGACCAGTTCCTTCTTTATGGTCTGTACTAAAATGACAATTTCTGTGGAAATGCTCTGATAAGTACAGTGCTGTACAAATCTGAATTATGCATTCAATTCTTTAAGAATTTTGTGGGGCCGGCCCGTGGCTCACTCAGGAGAGTGCGGTGCTGATAACACCAAGGCCAGGGGTTCGGATCCCATATAGGGATGGCCGGTTCGCTCACTGGCTGAGCCTGGTGCTGACAACACCAAGTCAAGGGTTGAGATCCCCTTACCGGTCATCTTTTAAAAAAAATTAAAAAATTAAAAAAAAAAAAAAATGAATTTTGCTAATTTGGGGTTACTGAGTTCCAGCACCCTTCCAGAATCACACACAGATCCTGGACTTGCGTGATGGAAGCTGTTACATTGGGTTTGTGTTCAGGTCACTCCTGACTGCGGGGATGAATTTAAGAGTGGGAGTGGAGAGTCTAGTTAAGAAGCTTTTCTGGTTGCCCAGTGCAGAAGGTGAGGGGGTGCCAAGCAGCCAGGGGTCTGACCTGAGTACCAGAGTGAAACTTGGAAGGGACACTGCACAGGCCTAGGGACAGGAGGACATGCGGCAGGGGACTCTCAGGGTCTCATATTTGGACATAAGTTTTAGGTACCAGCGAGACCCCCCCCCTAGTCCAGACGTCCACCGGTAACAGGGGTTTGGAAGGCAGAGCATGGCTGGAGGGATACTACGGGAACAGATGGCCTAAAGATGCATGTAAAGCTCCCACAGCCAAGGAGACAGCCCAGGGAAAAAGTGTCAAGTGAGAAGAGAAGGCCAGGCCCAGGCTCTTAGGAATTCTAAATTTTTAAAGAAGCTGGCAGAAGCAGAGAAAGAGGTGCTTCCTTCCTAGCCTCCAGCCCCCAAGGCACATCGTATGAAACAGTGAAGAGTTCTGTGACCTCTCCAAACGAGAGACAGCTACCAGGTCAAGACCAGTCATCTACAGTTGAAGAAACGGATTGATTTCAATAGGTTTTTGAACACGTTTTACTCTAAGACTCACCAAACCCCAAACAATCACAGATTGGGGTCTGGGCAAGAAGGATGGGCCCACTGGTGTATCCTCTGACATCATCCAGAATCTTGCAAAGACCGACCCAGCTGGCATTCACAGCGTACAATATATGGGTAGGGGCGACATCAGAGTGAGTAATCCGGAGGGCAACAGCATTGAAAGGGACCTGGAAAATAAATTTGCATCTCCCTCAATTAATTTCTACTTTGAAAGTCTACTTTTAATTTCTATATGTTAACTGGCCAGCTATCCAAAGCTAGGTCTGCCAAACCACCCACCAAAAAGTATCTATAAAGAATGAAAACACTATCCAGTGCTTGGTCACGGTTACACTGCTTTGACACAGACACCCTAAGAAATGTGCGCAAATTTCTCGTATGCCAGCAGCACTTGCTGGAAATCTAAACCAAATGCCTGCAACTTTCTTGTCTGAAGAGATGCATATGATTCAAGTTTGAAGACGTCCTAAACAAGTTACAAAAGAGTGAGACTTCCAGCCAAGTACCTGTGAAACAGCCAAGAACCTGTGAAACTGAGAGTCTTCTGATATTAGAAAGTAAAAGCCAATTCATTGAGAAAAGGCCTACTCATTTCCTAATGTAATGTAATGTAATGTAATGTAATGAGTTAAGAAAAATGGATCACATTCCTGGAGTACAAGATAAATGACTAACACATAACTTACTGGGTAATTCCAAATTTTTAAAGGAGAAAAGTATTTTGTTATACATATTACTTAGATTTTTAAAATAAATGTGAAACAACAAAAGGCAGATTAAATTACCGGCAGATAAATTTCAAGTTCAATCGCAGTGTATCTCCAAGCAAATAAATGACCCCATAAACCAAAACCCCATTAAACAAACTGCCTGAGACTCTCTGGTAGAGATGACTCAGAATACCAGAGCCCATCCCACCACTGGGCCAGGAGACACAACTTTGCTGTCCAGGTCTGCCAGTGTGACCTCAGCCAAGTGCCTTCCCCTGACTGTGCCCAGTTTTCAAAGCTGTAAACAAAGAATGAAATAGCACCTCCCTCCCCAGGTTGCCATGAAATCACTGATCCATTCCACTTAAGTGCTCAGCAGAGTGCCTGGCACAGAGTGAGTGCTGAAAATGGGACAGGCCATGCAGTGGACAGCAAAAGAAGGACTCTGGAGTCAGGCTGCCTGGGTTGAACCCTAGACCCACTCTCACTACGCCACTTTGTGCAAGACCACTCAAAGTCCCTGGCCTCGGTTTTACTATCTATAAAATGGGGTTATTAGCAGGACCACTATGAGTAAAAGAGTTTACACAGGCTTAGAACAGCACACAGTAAGCATTTAAGAAATGCAAAAATGCACTATTTTTATTCTTTCATCATCCTGAATCCTAACACTATGCCTCCCAAAATAATCCTTAGCATCCTAGATTCCAAGGTGTAAATACTCTAGTGTTAGTCTACTTGTGACAATAATATGAAACACTTAAGAGTGCCTGCTAGGTATTGCTGTGAATGCTTGCTGAATGTGTGCAACCATTCTATGAGGTCTGGTGCTACACTCTGTTCTACAGATGAGAAACTGAGTCACACATAGATAATAAATAGAAGGGCTGGAACTACCACTAGGATCAGGTAGAACACATGTAACCAGCACAGAACCATTCCTGCACCCAGCACAGAGCGTGGCTGCAAGCACGGATGCCAGCTCTGCTATTTCTGATGGATCATTTAGCCTCTCTGCATCTTAGTTTACCCATCTGTAAAATGGAGGTAATTACAGAACCCACATCACAGGGCTGTTCCGAGGATTAAATGAGTGAAGAGTTACAAAGTGGATAAAAGAGTGCCCAGCACAGAAAGCCATGGAAGTGTTTGTTCAGTACACACAATAAAGACAATTTCCCACAAATTCAGATTACCTGATAGGGTGTCAGACCATGTAAAGGACTCAGTGGTTTTGGCACTGGGGGCTGCAGCTGGCCAAGGTAACCTAACACTGCCAGCTCACGAAGAATTCTGTTATGTGACTGTCTGGGAAGTAAATGAGAACGAGGTTAGGCAGAGATTTAACCCTGTACATCCACCTCCCACTCACAAACTGAAGTGCATTCGTCATTACACAGGTTACACTTACACAGAGTGCTGGGCTTTGCTTTAAGACGTTCCTACCTTAACACCTGCAGACTCTGCCCTGATACAGCCCTACTGGGGAAACATGAAGTGTAAAAACTCTCCTCGAAGTTAAAGCTCCTGGAAACCAAAGCTGGAGGCCACTTCTGTACATTTCCATTGGGAAAATAACAGTTTAGAAAATAATTGAATCTCCTTCATAAATTTATGGTGTGATAGAGATTTGAAAAATTTTAGAAGACTTACTCCTTTTCAGGAATTAAGAACAGAATGCCAGGCTGGCCCGTGGCTCACTCGGGAGAGTGTGGTGCTGATAACACCAAGGCCACGGGTTCGGATCCTATATAGGGATGACCGGTTTGCTCACTGGGAGAGCGTGGTGCTAACAACACCAAGTCAAGGGTTGTAATTCCCTTACCGGTCATCTTTAAAAAAAAAAGAAAAAGAACAGAATGCCTTGTTCAACTGAAGGAAATGTAACTTCTCAGTTAAATGACTGATTTACCTATTTCTTGAAGTTATTCTGAATGTAAACTCCGAATGAACGCTTATCAGTTTATGTCCAGTAAACATGACTGGACTCTCCTTTTCTTCATCAGCAAATTCCAAATTCTCTGCAAATTCTGCAAGTGGGAAACCTCGATTTCTCATTCTGCGCCTGCTTTTGGTGTACAAGCCATTCACACTGTCTACATATTCCGGAGTGAGGTTTGGCATGAATTTACTGGAAGCAGAACTGAACTGAACGACGTGGCTGGGAGACAGCAACCGGATGAGATCGATGAGAAGCAAAAGCCCTTCATCTGCGAGGAAGGGGACAACATAATCACAGGTGACATATGAAAGAATGATGACCCTGTGCAATGATAAATATACTAATTATCCTGATTTGAATATAAAAAAATATATAATTTGAACAAGGGGGAAATTCTGCTAGAATAAAGAGAATTACATATTTCTGTTTGGAAAAAAAAAAACAAATGGTGGTGTCTGCCAGTCCTTTGGCTGGCAGTGTTGTGCATGTATATAAAAACGCCTGTTCTGTTTCTCAACTTTAACCTTGAGACGACTCTGTTTCTAATAAATACTAATATAAAAAAAAAGAATTTTGAAATACATGTTAAAAAACAAAAAATGTTTTTAAACTAAAAAGGAAAAAAAGAACAACAACACGTTCCTGTGAGCAACGGGTACACTTATTCTGAGACCAAGAAACAACTGGTAAGAAGAGCCTTAGACATGGCCTTCAACACGGAGGTCCCAAAGCCACTGCTCCCTCACATGGCCCGTCCTTTCCCTGCAGAGGCACGCACGCAGCTTACCTGCTACCCAGCCCATCGTATTGATGAGGAGAGGGGCCTCTCTCTTGTAAGAGCTGAACACATATTTTATGATCTCAATATAACTCTCACAGTTGCTTTTACAAGAAAGTTTCCCATAATATACCATCTTCTGTGGTGTCCTTTGGTGGGTGAAAGGTGGTCCTTAGAAGATAAAGATAAGACCAATGAATTCATGACTACTTCAAGGCTGGTGGGGTTTTGTTTCAGCCACCATAACTGACAAAGGTCCTTAGGAAATCTGAGACCAGCCTACCAACAAGAAGAGCTGGAATCCGACTTTCAAAAATCTAAGCTTTCAACTTAATACAAAGACTTGCTCGCTTTTACAACACATAGTTAACCCCAATTATGTCCTAATACAGCCACTCATTGAACAAACACTTAGTGAGCACCTACTACCCGCTGGGCTCATTCCAGACAACTGGGATATACCTGTGAACAAAACGGACAAACATCCCCACCCTCGTAGGGCTTACATCCTAATGAAAGAGTGATTCATAGTCATAGCATCACTTACTGGAAAAGACTGTAACTTTCATAGCATCCTTACGATGCAGGTAATAATATTATCCCCATTTTTATTGATGAGGAAATTGAGGAGTGACTTGAATGGTCTGACAGCTAATAGATATCAAGCTTGGCTTGAACTCAGGTGGCCCAGCTCAAGCTGACGCTCCTAATCACAGTGCAAGCCACTTCCTACCTCCTCTGGCTGGGGACAGGGAGTAAAGCAATCCAGTGAGGCTGGGGCAGCACAGTCCAAGCTGGGCCTTATGGCAGCAGGATCAACAACACAAGGCCTTTGGTTGGTGTGAGGCCCTGGGACAGATTCGGCCAGTGGCATGGCCACTGTGACCAGAGCTGGGAACTCAGCTGCTGGCTCTCCTCAAGGTTCGGGCCAATAGGGCCAAAGAGGCACGGCGTCAGTGGCTTGCATGGTAGAGAGATCGAACAAATACGGAGGGACTGAGCAAACACGTAAATGTATCGAGAACGGGCGTAGCAAGGTTGCTTCCCATCAGAGAAGCAGCTCACAGACTAACTAGAAGGCTAACTAGAATGCACCCTGAGGTATTAAGCTGCGGTGAGAATGAGAGGCATAAACTCATGGCTTTTACTAGACAGACAGAAAAGATACACAAAGAAGTATAGGCATACATGTGCACATGCATGTATGCACACATGCACATGGCGAGCGCTGGTTTACACATATCCTAGTTGTCACTGAGGGGGTCTAGAGGCAACGATACCCAGAGGCAGTGAGCAAGCAAGCCTAGCACCAAGACTCTGGTTTTCAGACATCATTTGAAAAGTCATTAAGAGGAACCAGGGTTCTTTGGGGAAATGGCTCATTCCTGGTCCAGGGAAGGGAAAGTAAAGGATGAACCCTGGATCCAGAGTTCGATCTCTGTACTGGCCAGCAACAACGGCAACAAAAAGATGAACCCTGGAAAGCCTTGTTTTGCCAGAAAGTAAGTAAGTGCTCAAAAAAGGATGGGACCACGGATGGGCAGGTCAGAGGAGCTGTGGGGCCTAGGAGGCAATGAGCGCTCAGAAGGCAGATGGGTCTAAGAAGAATCAGCTCAGCCAGCAGAGCTGAGAGCCTGGTTATACAGAAAGACACTGGGCAAGTAAGTTACTGTATTAATAACAAGAGCCAGGTTTCTCACTATTGGAAAAGGGTTTACAAATGAAGGAGTGAATACCAGAATGAATCCTGTGGTATTGGACTGGAAGTGGGAGAACTGATATGAACTCTGGTTTTATCTCTCGATCCTGATAATAAGATACAGAAGTAAACAGAGATGTTTATGTATGAGTGTAACATACACATATAAAATTTGTGTGTGAGAATACATTCATCTATTCTCTAGATCTGTTCACTGAGGGGACACAGAGACAATGATATCCCAGAAGAAAACAGCGCACCTAGCACCTGAATCCTGGCTTCTATGTACCATTCTCCAAGAAACCAGGGCTCCTTGGAGACGTGGCTCATTCCAGGGCTGGCACAAGGAAAGTACAAAAGTACAAAAAGAAAAGATGCAGAACTTCTTTTCTGTGCCAGAAAGAAAGCAGGTGCTCAAGAAATGATGAAGAGGTGTCAAAAGGACACAGGAGCCACCTGGAAGGGACTTCCACTGGCCACATTTGGGACAACATAGCATCGAAATGACAGTAACAGATAATAACCCATGGAATAAAACAGGAATCCTGGGCCGACCCGTGGCTCACTCAGGAGAGTGCGGTGCTAACACCATGGCCATGGCCACGGGTTCGGATCCTATACAGGGATGGGCGGTTAGCTCACTTGGAGAGTGTGGTGCTGACAACACCAAGTCAAGGGTTAAGATCCCCTTACCAGTCATCTTTCAAAATAAATAAATAAATAAATAAATAAAAATAAAACAGGAGTCCAAGATATAAATAAAGATAAATGGCAAAGAAGGGAAAGTGCATCTTGAGAAAAGAATGCCAACATATAAAGGTAGAAGAAATGGTGAGACTGGAAAATCACCATTTGACAAATGTCATAACAATAACTGATTCAGGTAAGAATTGCCAATGAATGATGGACCCAGTGGGTGATACAACACTGTGAATGAACCAAAAGCCACTGAACTGTAAACTTTAAAATGTTGAATTTTATGTTATGTGAAATTTGCCAAAACAAAACAAAACCTGATGGGTGACATTTACATTTTCTAAAATTAACTCCTCATGAGAACATTTAATTACAAAAGGAGAAATGGTATCTTTAATAAGTGGGGAAACTTGGCAGACACACCACATTAATCAAGAGATGAAATTAACAACTCCAGGAGTAGGACAAAGGGACACTGTGTGCCTTCTGAGAGGACACCTTGGGAAGAACACAGCACCACTTCTGTAGCATTCCTGTCCCAAATGCAGAACTTGAAATCTAATCACGAACAAACATCAGACAAACCCAAACTAAGAAACATTCTACAAAATAACTGGCCTGTCCTCTGCCAAAACGTCAAGGTCATGGGGATGCAAAGGAAAGACAGAGGCAGTTTTCCATGTCAAACGAAATTAAAGATACACAACAACTAAATGCAATATATAATCCAGGATTGGATCTTGGACCAGAGGAAGGGAAAAAGGTTGCCATAAAGAACATTACTGGGTGGGACAAATGGCAAAACTGGACCCACAGAATAGATGGTAGTGCTTTATCAACATTAATTCCAGGTTTAGATGGTTGAACTGGTTATGTAGGGAAGTGCCCTTGTCTTTGAGGCAATCCACAGTGCAGAGTAACACTACAGCAAGCTACAGCTTCCTCTCACCTGCATGAGTGCGTTCACAATAGAGGAAGAGAATGATGACGCATAGCAGCACCTCGGTGAAAGGTGCAAGGATGTTCTTTGTTCACATGATTTTTATAAGTTTAAAATTATTTTGAAATAAAGTTAAAAAAGAAAAAGGACATAAGGGCAGCTTAAGGGGCTCCCTCTGGCCAGATCTGAGATAATTTGAGCATCAAAATAAAAAATGATTGTACGATTTATACCTATTGAATACAACAGGAATCCATGAGTCCCTACTAATACAGATTAAGGCAAGAATCATCAATAAATGCTGAACCTACTGTGTGTAAGCTCAGTGAGGAACAGCACAGTTACAGTCTTAAAGCATCTCCCCCAAACTACTTTTTAATTGTACTTATCTAGTAATATCTAATTACTTATCTAGTAATAAGTAACTAAAAATGAAATTAATTAAAAGTTTTACACATAGGTAGATTCAAAACTTTCAATGAATTAATTTTACTCTTACTTATTACTTGATAAGTACAATTAAAAAACATTTTGTAGGGCCGGCCCGGTGGCGCACTGCTACAGTGCGCTGCTTGGGAGCATGGCGGCGCTCCCGCCGAGGGTTCGGATCCCACATACAGACCGGTTCCCGCTCACTGGCTGAGCGAGGTGCGGCCGCAACACCGAGGGTTGCGATCCCGTTGCCGGTCCCGGTCCGGTACAGGCGCAACACTGAGGGTTGCGATCCGTTGCCGGACACGAAAAAAGACAAAAAGGAAAAAAAAACAAAACCAGTGCTGAGGTTTCTCAAACAACTACAGATCGATCTTCCATACAATCCAGCAATCCCACTTCTGGGTATATACCCAGAGGATTGGAAATCATCATGTTGAAGGGATACCTGCACTCCTATGTTCATGGCAGCACTGTTTACGATAGCCAAGACATGGAACCAACTGAAATGTCTGTCGATGGATGACTGGATAAAGAAACTTTGGTATATATACACCATGGAATAGTACTCTTCCATAAAAAAAAAAAAATGAAATTCTCCCATTTGCAACAACATGGATGAGCCCGAAGAAACTTATGTTGAGTGAAATAAGTAAAGCACAGAGGGATAAATACTGCATGTGCTCACTCCCCGTTGCCAGTCCCCGGTACGGGCGCGACACCAAGGGTTGCGATCCCGTTACCGGTCAGTAAAAAAGACAAAAAGGAAAAAGAAGGAAAAAAAAAAAACAAAAAAAACATTTTGTAGGAACCCTTTTCTTCAGCTGTCACCAAGGTGCTCAGTCCTTCTGAGTTGCTGAGGCTGCACTGGGAAGAGGCCCTCCCTTCATAAGGCCACTGGCACTGCACCCAGCAGTGCCAGCCCTGCACCCAGCAGTGTTAGCCCTGCCCTAGCCAGCACCATGACCTCCGCCTCTGAGCTCACCTGCACCTACTTGGCTCTCATTCTGCACGAGATGACCCTCACAGAGGATATGATCAGTGTCCTCATTAAAGCAGCTGGTGTAAATGTGGAACCTTTTGGGCCTGGCTTGTTTGCAAAGGCCCCAGCCAATGTCAACACTGGGAGTGTTACCTGCAAAACAGGGGCTGGTGGGCCTGCCCCAGCAGCTGGTGCGGCACCAGCAGAAGGTTCTGCCCCCTCCACTGCTGCTGCCCCAGCCGAGGAGAAGAAAGTAGAAGCAAGGAAAGAAGAACCTGAAGAGCCTGATGATGACATGAACTTTGATCTTTCTGACTAAACCTTTTTTGTGACATGTTAAATAAAAAGCTGAACCCTAAAACAAAAAAAATTTTGTACGGAAAATTACAGCTAGATAGGAGGAATAAGATCTAATGTTCTAT